TTCTATACAAAAGAATGTTGTAACTAGAGAATAATAACTGCATTGAACGATGCTACACTTACATAATAGAACTAGTATATTTCAAAAGTTTCACAAAATATAACTTGCTACAGGCAACTGGTAGAATGCAGATTAGTGATGTGGCTCCTAGACATAGATGGCATATTCTTAACATAACTTTACAATAAAAATCATTACAAAAATGAGGTTTAAATGACAGCTTAGCTACATTATAGAAATACATATTACTACTAATGTCAAAACAGGTAAAAGCAGCATAGAATAAAGTCACAAAAAGTATACAGAATACATGTACAATAGCAATAATAATATACAGCCATACGCAAAGTATCACTGAATTGTACAATTATTTTCATTGTTTCTTTGGTTTCTATTCCTGTAAGAATAAAAATATGACAAATAAAAAATCATTTGAAAGCAAAATTATAGGTTACTATTATGTCTCCTTTTGCAAAGGATCATGTTATATTTATATTATAAAGTCAAATGAAAATTCATGTCAACCATAAGCAACATGTACATATGTCGAGTTATTAGCTGAATACGAAGTGTAATGGTAATTTTGGATGCAATAAAATCAGGATTTCTCACAGGATTTTAGCATAATGCTCAGCTCAATTTTTGAGCAACATCATGAAATCCTGTACTTGTACTTTGCCAAATTTATTAAGCATGGTAGGATAGAATTCCTATCACGTTTTCTCATACTCTTATGTTGTGTAGAAAGTCTGAACTAATTCCAATCAAAAAGTGGTTTTTATTCATTTTTAAAGTTTGCTCAAAAATTGGGTATAAGTACATTTATTATAGTACACGGTCTTGCGCCAAATTCCGCCAACATTGAAAGAGAAAGAATTCACCATTTTCATATTTTTTCTAATATACATACATACATGTTCTTATGCTTTGTAGCAAGTTTGAACTGCTTATAACAAAATTAACTTAAATTAATAAAAAATTTTAAATCAGGCCAAAGTTCCTGTATTATAGTACAGGGCCTTTGGCAAAATTTCACAAAAATTATTAGAAAAGAATTCTCCATTTCTATAATTTTTATGATACAGGTACATTATATATACATGTTTTATGTTGTGTAGAAAGTTTGAGCTAATTCTGACCAAAAATGGATTTTTTACAAATTTTTTGAAGTTGCTCCAAAATCGGACAAAAGTCCCTATAATACTATTAATAAGACGGTAGCATAAGTAGGTTCATCCCAAAACAATATGGCTTCCACAGCTTTTGCATAGTACAGGGTCTTTTACGAAATTTCAAGAAAAAGACTAGGAGAGGATTCTCCACTTTAATAATACATGTTCTTATGTTGTATAGGTTTAAGATGATTCCAAAGAATAATTTTACAAATTTTAAAAGTTGCTCAAAAATCAGGCTAAAGTCCCTGTACTACATGTAAGATTATTGGCAAAATTTCGCCAAAAATGACTTAAAAAATTTCTATTTTTGTGTTGCTTTTCAGATACATACATATACACATCCTTGTGTTGTGTAAAAAGTTTAAGCAAATTTGGATTTTTAAAAAGTTGCCCCAAAATTGGATAAAAGTCCTTTGGGCAGAATGTCACCAAAAAGAACTCCTCATTTTTATAATTTTTCTGATACATACATGTATGTATACATGTTCTTATGTTGTGTAGAAGGTTTGAGCTGATTCTGATTAAATTCAAATTTATTATAAATTTTTAAAGTTGAAAGGCTTGTCAATTTATATGAAGCTAGCTTTTTAGCTCATTTAACATGCTTTGTTAGAATTCAGGATGAAACAAATTTTCATTTAAATCAAGTAAAACTAATTACTGCCAAACCTGTTTCTGTTTTCATTGTCACTGAAGTTCAGCTGTCTCAGAGCTTCCAGTAACTCATCAGGTGGAGGAAAATTGAGTTCATCTGGTCCAGGTAAACCTACTCCTTGATTCAGGAACTAAAAATAGAAAAAAGCTAGTACATGTGTACCTATAACACTGAAAGATATACTTATAAACTAGAGAATAACTTATAGTTTGCAATTTTATGTTAATTTATTATTTGCTAACGGTAATTGAAAATACCCATATAAAGACTCTTGATTAAGTAATTAAAATAAAGCTCTAATGAATAACCCAGCACTCAAAACATACTTACATTTAAAGGGTCTTCTCCTTCTTTTCCTATCAAAAGTTGAAGAATTTCTGGACTTCTAATAGCTAACATTTGTGGAGTTACACCATTCTCATCAGCACGGTCTGCTTTGCAATTTTTCTGTAGTAAAAATTGAACAATCTCACGATGACCATTCTGGCATGCACAATGAAGTGGAGAGCGTCCAAACTTGTCTATGACATCCAAATCTGTGTTTGCTATGGATCCAAAGTATTTTATTAAATCGGTGTGGCCATTAAAAGCAGCTAGGTGGACTGGAGTAACTCCTACTTTAAAATCTTTTGTGCAAGGATTTGATCCTTTGGCAACGAGAAACTTCACAAGCTTGACGTGTCCCTCTTGTACTGAGCAGTGCAATGGAGTTCTTCCATCTTCATCAGGAACATCAAGTGAAACACCAGGTATGGTTGAAAAGAACTCCACTATATCATATCGTCCAGTAAAAGCGGCTGAATGTACAGGTGTGACACCACTTAAATCTTTAATTGTTGGATCACAGTGATGCTCATTCACTAAATACTTAACTACCTCAAAGTGACCATTCTGTGCACTTTGATGAAGTGGTGTCCTTCCATTTGTTGAGGAAATAGACATGTCACAGTTACCAAATGAAGCAAAAAATTTTAATATATCAAGGTTTCCATTTCCAGCAGCAAGTTGCAAGCAGCTCACACCAAAAGCGGTGTCTTTTTGGTTAAAGTTGACCTGGCATTCATTAACTAGTATCTTAACAATATCAGTGTGTCCATTTTGACTGGCTCCATGTAAAGCAGTGCGACCACTATTATCTGTATGATGTGGATCAGTTCGGGGATTGGAAATCAAGTGCTTGACAATATCAAAATGACCACACTCTGCAGCTAACTGGAATGGAGTTACTCTTTTTCTGTCTTCCAAATTACAGTCAGCATCATGATCATCCACAAGAAGCTTGACAACGTCAGTGCAACCATCTTGACATGCATAATGAAGGATTGAGCGTCCATACTGATCACAAATGTGCGGGTTACTATTTGGCTGACCAGACAGATACTTAACAAGTTTAAAATTTCCTTTTTGCCCGGATAATTGGAAAGGTGTTATGCCATTTTTATCTTTTTTCATTGGGTCAGAATTGAACTTTTCCACAAGAAGGCAAACAATTTTAAAGTGACCATTTTGACAAGCATAGTGCAGCGGGATTCTCTGGTGCTTATCGCAGTGATTGAAATCAACCCCTTCACAGCTAGATAAGTATTCTACTATATCAAAATGTCCTGCCTCTACTGAGATATTAGTGGGAGTTATCTTTGAGTTATCTTCCAAATTAATGTTGCAGGATTTCTGAGACACTAAAAACTTAACCATATCAGTGTGCCCATTCTGACATGCATAATGGAGAGGAGTACGCCCATTTACATCACAGTGATCAAAATTAAGTTCACAGTTTTCATCAAGGTATTTTACAATTTCAAAGTGTCCATTCGACACCATTAATTGCAATGGAGTAACACTCTTTTTGTCTTTCTTCATTGGATCACATTTACATTCAGCTACTAAAAACTTAACTGCTTCAAAGTGTCCATTCTGTCCGGCATAGTGAAGTGGTGTTCTAGAAGTGACGTCTATCGGATCCATGTCAACTCCAGGTTGCTGAGCCATTAGTTTCAGTATTTCTGTGTGCCCATCATGAGCTGCATTATGAATTGGAGTATGGCCATCAGAATCCTTAAAACTTAAATCACTCTGACATTCTTGTATCAGATAACGAGAAACCTTAATGCTCCCAGCTAAAGCTGCATTGTGAAGTACAGACTCTTGTTGAGGGCCTCTAGTGTGTATAGCCTTCTTTCTCTCTGCAATGCTTAAACTCTCTAGTATCTTCTTCACTTCATCAATGTCATCTTCAATGGCTAGTGATCTTAATTTTATACTCTGAGGAAACTTATCCCTTGCATTCATCATCCATTGGTGACCCTTTTCTATAACATTAACACGTTTTCCAAGCTCAGGAATTTTTGCCTTTAGGTACTCAACAACTTTATCTCTTCGTTTAAACATTGCTATTTCAAAAGGTGTGATACCAAGGTTACTCTGACGTGTCACAGAGCAGTGTTTTTGCTCAACAAGGAACTTGACTATATCCAAGTGACCTTCATCACAAGCATAGAATAAAGGAGAGCAATCACGATCATCAGTAACATCAGGATCAATGCCTGGAAGATCAGATAAGAACTGCACAACATTAAGGTGACCACTGTGAGCTGCTAAATGTAAGCCCCTTACTCCATGATATGCTTTAGCATTAGGATCAGCACCAAACTCATTGACTAATA